TAGTGGACAGTCTAGCAGAGTGTGGAAGCCAACGCACATCTTAAGTACTGGACAGCTCTTTGCTGTTTGATGGCTTGCAGGTGGCCACGGCAGGTGGGGAATGGCAAACCCAGCTCTGGGGATTGGGCCAGGATGGCCAGGCAGTAGACGTCATTATCAACTAGTAAAATCAACACCATAGCATATTTATATTCAGATCTCTCTTTACCACAAGAGACCAGTAAAGCATATGCATCACTGCAGACATGGCTCCAATCCATTTGTCACTCCCCCGCTCTCCTTTCTCTTCACTTTTGACCCCCAGATACTTGAATTCCTCCATTTGGGGCAACAACTTGTCCCTAACCCCAAGAAGGCTCTCCAATCTATTCTTGCTAAGAACTTTCAAGCCCCACACTTGAAAGTGCTAACTGGTATTCCCATTGCTTCACATTGGGCCGCAAACTGTTGATGTACAAGCTGGATGCCACCACCTGATGAAGCCAACAGAACCACAAAAAATAGAGATGAGATCCTGAGACAACCAGAGGGGAGGCCTTTTGCTACTTAAGACTGCCTAGAAATTTTGTTTAAAAAATTATGAACATAATCATAATCCCAACACCTGCTGGGAATGAGTCTATTGTCAGCAAGACAGACCAAGCTCTTGCTGCAGTTGCACAAGGACCAAATGGCCTTTGATAATGAGCTAGATGCCCCATACTCCCAAAGCACCTTCCATACAATGTCTCGAGGGATGCGGTCAAATCCCATAAAACACATGTAGACTGTAACCCCCATTCAAACTTGAATTTCCTCATTAGGATAAAGATCTGGTTTAGCGGTCTATGACCAGGATGACAATCACTGAATCCGAGGTTCGAATTATGGACAAACTCTTGTCTCCAGTACCCTGGCATAGACTTTTCTTCCTAGGGAGGCTGAGTAGTATGATCCCACTGTAATTGAATCACACAAGTAACCACCACCCCTGTCTGCCAATCCAGAGGGACTGCCCTGGATCTCCAAGTGATGTTGCAGAGGTGTGTCAACCAAGATATACCTATAGTAACTCAAGGCAAATCACCTGGGGCCCTACCACTAAGGAGTTATTTAACTACCTTACTCACCTTGGACCCATTGATCCGGAAGTTGTCTGTCTCGTCCCCAGACTATTTTTCTTCAATAGAAGGCATGTCAGTGGGACTGAGAAAAGTAGTCTTAACACCAACCAACTATATCCTTGGTTGAAGTCAGCAACCCACACTGAGAACCTGATGGTTTGCTGGAATTGCCTCGAGGCTGACCAAAAGGCTTCTTCCATGACCTTAATGAACTCCTCCCATGAGCTAAGGCTGCATCCACATAGGAATACTAATAATTTGTAAGGAATAACTGAAACTGTGAAAACCATGTTTGGAAAATATATAAAATATATAAAATTCCCCTCCCACCCCTGCGGGCGTTCTATCCTCCAAGCTGGGGTCCTCTACCAGAGGCCTGGGAGCTTGAGAGTCCTGCGCAGTATCTTAGTTCCCAGGTCTGCGCTCTTCTGGACAGAGATCTCCAATGTTGTTCCTGGGATCTGCTGAGCACATAGTTCTTTGATTACCACCGGGACCACTGTTACCTTCACCCTCCACATGTTCTCCAACTCTTCTCTGAGCCCTTGGTATTTCTCAGGTTTCTGGTGTTCCTTCTTCCTGATGTTGCTGTCATTCAGAACCGCTACATCTATCACTACGGCCGTCTTCTTCATGGTTGGAGAAAGAGAGGAACCAGGCATGGAGCTCTGAATGCAAGGCAGTGTGTTTATTTACAGTGGTAAAAGGTTAACAACAGTTCAATGTGCAACGTAGTCAGTTGTGTCCCCCTTCCCGTGCTCAAACAGTGCGTGGCAGTGAATTTTCCTTCCTCCTCCAGGTAGACTCCCATGCTTGTGATTCTCCTCCATCCCTGTTCCTAGTTGCACACAGAACAGCAAACAGTTAATCACTTGTCTGGCAGGCAACACTTAACTACGCAAACGGTCAGAGAATACTACCAGGCTTAGTGCAATACTCCAGCGCTGACTGTCGTTCGGCCACACCAGCTCTGCCTAAGATGGTGGATGATTAAAGGCAGCTGTTGGCTGGATCAGTTGCAGGTGTGGCGGCTCCAGAGCGGCAGCACACCCGGGTCGGACGTCACTCATTGCCATGCGACCTCCGTAAACAATTGCCACGGAGCCGGAGAGGAAAATGAAAGAGAGAGGAAAACACACAAACACAGGCAGGTCGACCGGTCGGGGAACCGTCCAACCCTGACATTCTGTTTGTCTACCACCACTATGTCCGCTTGGTTAGCCATCACCATTTTGTCCGTCTGTATCTGGAAATCCCACAGGATCTTAGCTCGGTCATTATCTGCCTCCTTTTGGGGCGTCTCCCATTTTGACCTCGGGACTTCCAGGTTATACTCGGCACAGATGTTCCTGTACACTATGCCGGCCACTTGGTTATGGCGCTCCATGTATGCCTTGCCTGCTAGCATCTTGCACCCTGCTGTTATGTGCTGGATTGTCTCTGGGGCATCTTTACACAGCCTGCACCTGGGGTCTTGCCTGGTGT